GAGACTTGTGTTTAAATGCCTGCAAGGAGACAGGTGAGAGACAGACATGAGACCATCAGACAGGTGAGAGACAGACATGAGACCATCAGACAGGTGAGAGACAGACAGGGGAGCTCACCTTGTCACACATCTGGCAGGCAAACGGTCTTTCATTGCTGTGAACTCGCTCATGTTTTTTCAAGTCAGGAGCTCGGATAAAAGATTTTCCACAAACGTCACACCTGTAGGGTTTGAAGCCCGTATGGATCTTCAGGTGTTCTGGAACAGACAGGTGAGGGCAGAGCCAAACACATGACCTTAGCTAATAAAAAAATCAGGTACATATTGTTGCTACAAACACTTTTCAATCTGAAAACTCCAGAAAGTACTGAAGAACCAGTGCCAGGAAGATGACGCCTGTTGTGTTGTTGTTTTTACCTGAGAACAGGTGTGACTGGGGATGGACTTACCTTTCAGGTGAGCGTGAGTGGTAAAAGCTTTGGAGCAGATCTCACAGGCAAACGGACGTTCAGCTGAGTGCAGCTTCTCATGTTTTCTACAGAGAGAAATCAGGAGTTTCTTCAGATATGGTTCTGTGCAGGTGCACTGAACAGGTGACGTTTGTGGCTCCATGTAATGTTCATGTATGTTTGAGTCATCATTAGGTGTAATTTCAGGTGTATTGACCATGATGATGTAATCCTCACATGTACAGTATGTTTGAGTCATCACTAGGTGTACTTCAGGTGTATTGACCATGATGATGTAATCCTCACATGTACAGTATGTTTGAGTCATCACTAGGTGTACTTCAGGTGTATTGACCATGATGATGTAATCCTCACATGTACAGTATGTTTGAGTCATCACTAGGTGTACTTCAGGTGTATTGACCATGATGATGTAATCCTTCACATGTATGTTTGAGTCATCATTAGGTGTACTTCAGGTGTATTGACCATGATGATGTCATTTGAGAACATTAATTAATTTAAAAGATGGCGCTGTGAGTGGCAGCCTCGGCACAGTGCTCTCTAATACTTTGTTTTTGTTTGTTATTTGTGTTTGGCTGCTCAGACCAGATAAGTTACACCACAGAAGACCTGCTTAACACTGGACAGCTTACTGCAGATATTTTTCTCTAGTTTTCACAAAGCCAGGAGGATTCCTGGAGATCCTGATCAGAGACACAGCTTCTCTGTGGAGGAAGTGGTGCAGACGCCGGTGTGGGAAGTGTCCAGGAGTGGATGTTAAGCTCCATCAGCGAGGCTCTTGAACAGTGCTCCCAACCAWACATCTCATCAATCTCCACTCCCTACCTGACAGAATGGATGAGATGRTTCTCCTCTGCAGGATTAAKAAGAACTTCACATGTTCTGCTGTCCTTTGTTTCACTGAGACATGGCTCAGTGAACCCATCCATGACAGCACACTGACTGTGTGACAGAGCTCTCAGGGAAATCAGAACGAGGCAGTGTTTGTGAAGCACAGATGTCACTGTGCTTCACAAACACTGCAGCCTGACCTGGGAGCTTCTGTTCATCCACTGAAAGTCATTCTACTCACAACTCACCATGCTAGGTGTTTACATCAACACACACAAACACTGGCTCATGGAATATCTGGTATGGAACAGAAAGATCCAGAAACACTAGTTCTTACGTTGGACGATGTTAACAGTGCAAAGCTGAACCAGGAAGAACTGAAATCCAAGCAGCACATCACCTGTCCCACCAGAGACAGTAACACACCTGAGGTTAGCCCAGGTCTTCAGAGTCTACACTCTTTATTATTGAAGTATTCCTGTGTTTGGAGTGTAGTTGTGTCTTCCAGCAGGTGAACGGTTAATTGTCAAAGGAGCAGCGTCGCAGTGGGAGCACACTTTATGAACGCTGTAAAAATATTTAAGATGAAAAACAGGTTTTTAATGCCCCTACATCTAACAAAGACGTGTTACATTTGATTTTTTTCTTCTAAAATCACAGACTTCTCTGAGTTTATCATAAATATCTGCTAAATGTAACCTGGTCTTTCAYTGCCTTTAAATTACACAATCATTTTAGTGGAGAAACTTAGTTTGGTTACAAGAAGTAAACAAAAAATTAAAAAATAATAAAACAGTAAAAAAATATATTTATTTCCTGTACAGAGAACTTTGTGTGCTGTATTGTTTAAAATAAATACATAATAAATATAATACAATGAGCTCATGTACACATTATATTCCTATTTAACTGAAACTGTCTGACCTGTAAGCAGGATGTTGGGTAAGCTGCAGGTGTAGAAACGTTTAAATAACAACAGTTTTCTGTCTGTTTCAGAGGAACAGCACACTGTCAGGTTGGGGATCAGAGCTGTGTGTGTGCTGCTGTCTATCACCGTCAGGGAGCTGACAGTGCATTTATCATATTACTTTAGGTTTATTAAAACTGGGCCAACACTGACCCCAATAACAAAAAGGTCACAATTTTCACTGGAGTATTTAAAAAAAAGAAGTTAAATAGATTTTTTMGTTTAGTTTAGTCTGGACAGAGGTTCCTGACAAAGTCAAAAAGCCTTGATGTGATCAGAAAAAATTAAGTGTTTTTTTTATGCCTTCAAAAATGAAATCAGGTCGGTGAAGACCCTAACACCATAAGAAGGTTAAGGGCTGATTATGTAAAGACTATTAGTGATAATATTAATATAAATAGTATTAATATATCAGAGTGTATATGAGTTATATAAAACTGTCAGAAAGCTTTGTGTGTTATGGATGTACCAACAGGAGAAATTAGAAAATATGTCTCATTTCACAAGTAAACTGATTTAATCTTGTTTAAATCAAAGTGAAAATGTTCTGAGCAGAGCTGAAGCTAAAGATGTAACAGTTTAATTTAAATAAGCTTATAAAGCTGCTGTAATCATTATTTATTGAACACATTAGCAGATATTAGCTTCTGTAGCATATTGTTATTTGGAGTATAGCTCTGCTAACTCATGCTACAGTTTAACACAAATATTATTATTATCTTCATTTTAAGCTGCTTTTCCATGATTTTTGAAACTGTGCTGTGTTTTCTGGACTATAAGTCACTTCTGTTTCACAGTTTGGTGGTTCTGTGACTTATACTCTGAGCTTTAGCTGTGGTTTTCCTTTTTATGGCGTAGTTTTTTCKCACTGACTGCCGTGAACCAAGGAGTGCATGTTACCGTCTGCAGCCAGGAGAGGGCGCTCTAACCTTGACAACTGCACTTTCTGTTGTTCTGCTGTCAGTGAAAAACAACAGCTGCTCTTATTTTGTCATTTTGTTCTGTATGTGATGGGTTGCTGGTTCCATCTCCTGTTCTATCGGTCTCAGTCGATGTGTCAGTCAGAGGGTCTGGTGGCTCCGCCCCCGGCAGTGTGGCCCAGGGCAGCTGTGGCTACAGTGTAGCTTACAGTGTAGCTGTGTGGATGAGTGATGTGTGAAGCTCGTTGGAGTCAGACAGGACTGGATAAAGTGATATAAGTTACATCACAACACCTTTTCTTTGTGTTTTTGTGTGTTTTTGTTGAATGTTTTTACTGTGGAGCCCTGTTGTGTCAGGAATAATGACTGAGTTGACTTTGTGACACAGATCCAGGTGGACTTGTAGTAGTTTTGTAGGCTGAGGTGATGCTCTGTGTAGTCACTCTGTCACAGAGGCTAACAGGCTCACTCTAGATGTATTATTTAACTCTATGTTGAGGGGTGTTAGCTGTTTCTTTAAGGTAAACTGCTCCAGTAAATCTCTTGTCCAGGTAAGAGCGTACCTGAGCTTGCTTTCATCTAGGAAGGTTTTTCCGCACACCTGGCAGGCGAGTTGCTCTCGGTGTCCATACAGCAGGTATTCAAACTTCATGTCAGCTGTAGCTGTGGACCAGCCAGGTGCCTGCTCGTCCTTCACTTCACCAATACTATCTGTAAACGTCAACGTCTGGGTGGCATGATGCTCCGCCCCTAGTTCTTTAGGCTCCGCCTCCATTTCTGCTACCACATCCTGGTCGTAACAGGCCACCTGGAGGATTCAGAGACACTTTGAGCTGTTTGCTGTCTGCTGAGGACACGTAGTCCAGATAAAAAGGTCCAGACAAAGGAGAAGGCCAGGTGAGYTCCAGGTTATACAGGAAGACACACCTTGTGTACGTCCTCATTGGTCAGTTCTTTCAGGATGGCTTCTTGCACCTGCAGAGCTGCGTTCGGAGACTTGTCAAGCTCCTGATTGGCCGACGCCTCAACAAGGTCATCAGTGGTGGGCGTGTCATCATTCTCACCGAGGTCCTGCACAAAGTCCAGATCAGAGAGCAGAAATGGACAAATGTGGCAGCAGATTATTGATTATTATTATTTTTATTGAAAATTATTCAAAAATTAGATCCAATCTGACATCTTSTGMTTCAAATATCTATCTTCATGCCATTATACTCTCAACCATGTCGTACTGTTTACCTGTTTGGTCTCTTACAACAAATGAAATCTTAGAACCCATAGTTAGGCTCTACAACAGGGCCTACAAAATTCATAAAAAACTTCCTGGTTGGACTCATCACTGTACAGTTCTTTCATTGTCTGATGCCTTGACTTTTCAGAATTATGTTTTGTATAGTGGTATTAATTTATATTTTCAGATCTTCCAAGGTGCCAKTTATGGAACTCTCTGTGCATTGTTGCCCAAATCAAATTCTGGAAGTGGTCATTCAACTAGATCTGTTACAAAAGGACAACTGATATTACCAACTTTTAAAAACTGTTACGGCCAGAGGTCTTTCTTCTATGTTTATACTAAAGCATGGAATGACATTCCTCAAAACATAAAGTCCATTTCAAAACTACAGCCCTTTAAGAAGAATCTTGTCTGCCATCTGCTGGACACTTTTGGTTCTGCTCATATTTAGACGTCCTATTTTGCAAATGCTGCCTTCCTGAAATTTGGTATGCTTGTTTGTCTTTGTGTCTATGGTGTATAATGATGTGATTGTGATGCTGTAATTCTGAGTGTTTTATGTGCTGCAGAACAGGAACCTGCTGTAAAACAGCAATTATGCTGAGTCAGGCTTGATTTTTAGTAATATTTTCCTGTTAAATTTGTATTGGTGCTGATTTTACTTATTTAACTGTGTGATTTTATTGTATTTTTGTATTCAGTTTTTATTTTATGTGTTCAGCACTTTGTTTCAGCAGTGGCTGATGTTATAGCGCTTTATAAATAAAGTTTGATTGATTGATTAAGTAAATAAATCAAATCAAAAATCAAATCAAATCATTGATCATTATATATATTGATTATTACCGTACCTCAGAGTCGGGTGCCATCTGAGCCTCAGGAGGCAACGCCATCTTTACGATGTCGTAAGGAAATTTGTCTTTTTCTTCCGGTGACAAGTCCCGTTTCTACAAGAACAAAAACACCATATCTGAGCATAGAGTTAAATAATACAACTAGAATGTGCTCTGTCTATCCTGCTTGAAGAATTCAGAATAAATATTTACTACATGCAACAATCATGTGAAAGTGTTTAAAGAAGGAAAATATATTAACTGAGAGTGAGCACAGAGCAGACAGAGCAGACAGAGCAGCAGGAAGTCAGCTCTGTGTGCTTCCAGACTGCTCGTTATGATCCTAACTAATATCAGCTTGATTCTAATCTCCTCTGCTCCGTCTGGCCTTTCATTCACAAGGATTTCTCTGGTAGAACGTCAACCTGGCCGATCAAACACAAGGACTTGTTGTGAACAACATGGAGTTTCTACACAGCGCCCCTTCTTGACACAACTTGCTGATCTTTGTACCCCATACACATAACAACATATTGTGATTTAAGTGTTTGTGCTGAGATGCTGCATTTTGCTGCAAGCACTCGCTTCAAAACAACAACAACCAACTACTCACTTAAAGGAGACCTAATCTGAGGGTCCTAGAACAAGTTAGGATCCATCTGTGGGCTTTATAAAACCTGTTCATTTGATTTAACTCACTAAATTCATCTCAGATAATGAAATTTCACCATGTCAGATGTGTCTGTTCTTCAGCTCTCTTCAGAACCTGCTGCTTCGCAGAAGTTGCTATGAGAACCCCTCCCAACCTTTTGTTTTCGTTAGCTCCGCCCCCCACCAGAGGTTTACTTGTTTCTTTTCAATTGAAAGGACTAATTTTCCAAAGCACTTCACAGAGCTGTGTATTGGCAAGAATCTGGTYATACGATGCATATCATGACAGACGGGTCACAATATGATGTATCCTGATGTATTGAGATACTGTAAGCAAGGCAATATTTTGTGATATATTGTGATANTGTAAGCAAGGCAATATTTTGTGATATATTGTGATACATTGTGATACATTGTGATARATTGTGATACATTGTGATARATTGTGATACATTGTGATTTTTTTGGTCCAAAAATTCTATTAAATAAAAACCTCTTACTGGGGAAAAAAAACAAAAAAACACTACCTGTAATTTCCAGTGGCTTCCTGTGTATTACACTACCTGTATATTACCTGTGACTACCTGGGTATTACACTACCTGTGAATTACCTGTGACCACCTGTGTATTACACTACCTGTAATTACCTGTGACTGCCTGTGTAATACACTACCTGTGTATTACCTGTGGCTACCTGTGTATTACCTGTGACTACCTGTGTATTACCTGTGGCTACCTGTGTATTACCTGTGACTACCTGTGTATTACCTGTGACTACCTGTATATTACCTGTGACTACCTGTGTATTACCTGTGACTACCTGTGTATTACCTGTGACTACCTGTGTATTACCTGTGACAACCTGTGTATTACCTGTGGCTACCTGGGAGCAGAGCTTGTCCAGGAAGCGGATTCCGAGGATCTGTCCTGATGACATCATCAGGTTGACGTCCTTCTTCTTGACAGAAATCCTTGCAGTGTACATGTAG